TTCTCAACTCGTTTTTTCTCATTTAAAAGGGGATTTTTGACCCCAAAAACACATCTTTCATTTCCCTTTCATTTTCTTAGCTTAGATTAGTCTAGTATTTCATCTCTAACTCTTCTACCAAGCTTGTAATCATGGATTGGAGTGGGATTCAACCACAAAATCTTCATCTTCAATAGAGAAGCTTCTTACTCTTCTTCTTAACCTTTTGTGCAATGTTTATGATATTTTCTTATGCTTTGTTGTTATTTATGCTTATGAAGTGTGAGTAGTCCCTTTTTTGGGCTCGGATTAGGGAGATATTGCCAATCTAGATGCTAAATAGGTGATTATTCCTTAAGGGGGAAGAACCCTAACCTAGGGTTCATTTGTTTGAGTTGGTTTTATGTTGAATCTTGCTAATATTTGGTACGTAACTCTTATTAGCTTGCTTTTGGATAGTTCTTCTCCACAATGAAAGTTGGGTGAAGAACTTAAGCCTCACCTTTCTCAAATCCCATTTTCTTTCTATGAAAATAGGAAAGAATTGGGGGCCTTAATGCTTATGTGCTTTAAGAGCTAGGAATTGATACACCACGAAAGTGGGGCAAGCCTTGCTCTAATCCTTGTTCTTTAGCTCATGAAAATGGGTTTAAGCTAGGATTTTCTTGTGCATGCCTTAATGTTCATTTGGTTGATGTTCTCCCCTAATCCCTTAGTTGTTGAAGCATCTAGAAGGCAACACCCCATAATTTGAGCTCATCTTTTATTATTGTGTTTACTTGAGTTTAATTTGTATTGTCTTAACTAGATTTTTTAGCCTTTAATTGTTGACATTACCCAATCATGAATTTGAATTCGCTTGGATTCTTGTGGGTTCCAATACTTTGGTGTCTAGGACTTTAGTTGTCACTCTAGTACGTGTCATAGTCCCAATCCCTTGCGGAACGACAACTTACACTCGTTTACTCACCATCTCTTTCCCGTACATTAATAATAAAAAGAGAAGAAGAGGGAACGAGCAGTATTTACGTAGTATTAATGAGGGATGATTGTGCAACATGAGGATATGGCATGTGCAATCAGGGGTTAGTTGATGGTACACGGTATAACCCTAAAAACAAATGAGAAATGGTAGAGTTTAAAAAGTATTGTTGGTGTGTGCTACATGATGATGCGACGTGTGCAACCTGTTAGTAATGAGTTTGGGTATAATAAAAAAATAATAAGATGGATCGAGCAGTATTTACGTAGTATTCAGACGCACACTGTTGCAATTTATTTGTGATTGGTTTTTACGTAGTATTTACGTTATTTGTTTTTGTTTTTTTTTTTATTTCAATTGGGGTGAGAATGGTAGAATTGTACACAGAGGGGCCAGTAGATGGTTAGGATTGAGAGTAGTGGTTACAGTGTTGAGAATTGGCATGTGCGAAAAGGGGAAAGTAGTGGGTAGACGTGAGCATTACATTGTAGGCAAACGTGTGTGAGCCCATGTTATAAAGCGGGTGCAAATGGTAAGTGTTAGTTGGGCAAGGGATATATATTGTGTGGAAACGTGTGGGAAAAACAGAAAATGCAAAAATGTGCAACACGACTGTGTGCAAACCTTGAGTGATGCGTGTGCATACGTCAAGCAAAAAAAGATGGTGGACCATACATGGTAATTTAGATGAAGGCAATGAAGGGAATGTCAAAGTGTGTGCGTAAGTGTTACATGGCGAGTGTGCAATCACCTAATGCGCGAAGTGATGTTAAAGAAACGTGGATGCAATCGTTGCCAAGTGTGTGCATACGTAATGCTAAGAAAATATAATACCTTATACATAAAACAAAAATAAGCTAGTGGATGAGATCTATGAATTGTGTGCAACCATTAATCGTATAAGCATATATGCAAACAGAGGGAGTTAGTGCAAACGTTTACCCTCTAAAAATTGATGAAGGAGATAACTAAGTAGACAGGTTAAAAGCAAAGACGAATATGTTTAAGAATAAAATGTAAGAGAAGAAAAAAACCAAAATATTGTAAGAGTTTAGTGGAAAAGAGGAAACAAATAAAGGTACAGAGCACTAATATCCAACAACATATAATCTTTGTTCCAAAAAATGACTAAACGTAAAACATAATGAAATGAAGATAGAGTGGGAACATATTGCATCAAATCAAATTGAGATTCTTCGTGCGATGGGAGTTATTATGACTTAGTAGAATCTCCTTCATGAAAGACATCCTAAATGCCTGCAAAGACTTCACATCCCCTTTTTTTAAACCCACAATCCAACCTAGAGGTTTGCCATGCATCGGCCGTTATATTTGTGTGGAAGAAGGCACACGTACCACCGGTGGTAGAGAAACGAAATCATCATCATTCGAAGTGTCAATTTCATGGGTCTTAATATAGCTGACATTCCTAGAATTGGACCCTGCACACATAGACATAATAATAATATAAGTGCACACATTATCAAAATAAATGCTGCATGCACAAACTAGCTAGAATCCTTAGTAATCCATAAATCATAATGAACACACCTAAAATATTATATGCATAGACTTAACATATTAGAACAAATGTAACGATAAAAGTAAATTGCACAATCATATTGACATGTTCTTATAATATTACTAAAATATTTTTATTTTTATTTAAAAAAAAAAAAAAAAACAAATTACTGAAGTCCTAAAAAGAATGGAAAATATCACAGAATAAACTAATAAGGCATATTTGAAAATCAATCAAAATAAGGCATATTAGTCTAGTAAATTGAATGCAAACACCTCATAGCTTGTATGCACACAATTTACAATAGTAGATAAAAAACAAACATCACAATGATAGTTGAATTCCTTGATCTTTTACAAATAAATTTGAAAAACAAACAAAAGAATGCATGTTACTCTATTATTCTGATTGCACACACATCTCATATCTTGTATGCAAACACTAAACAAAAAATAAAAACATAATGACAAAACTAATTTGCACACACATGGTGACAGAATTTTATAATATTACTAAAGAACAATTTATTTTGGCCTAAATTATTTGCACACGCGAGTTATGCGCTCGCACACTCACAACCACACAACAATATTGGCCAACTCACATCTCCTTTATAAACTATCCAACTACAGCTAATCGGTACTCCAAACATAGTTAAACAAAATTTATGCTGAATTCACAAATTCGTTCAAAAAAAAAAAAAAAAAAAAAAAAAAAAAAAAAACATAACCACGAAAAAACACCCCCACGACCAATATTCAAAAAAAAAACAAACAAAAACAAAAACCACCGCAAAAAACCCACCCCAAGGCCGCAGCCACCAACCCCATCCCACCACCGTAGCCAAAACCCCCAACCCACGATCGTAGCCAACAAACCACCACAGCAACCACCAACCCCACGCCACGGCCGCCATCCTTGCATGTCACGATAAACCAACACCAACACACCACACATGCCCACCATCCCAAACCCACAAATTCTCAAACCCTAACCCAACTAAAAATTACGTGTTACGATTAGTTTCAAACCCTTAAAAAAAAAAAATACCTCCTCCATTGCGTGCACATGGGGTCTTACGCTTAGAACGTCTAAGACCGGAATCCTCCATAGCCAAACAGAGCGTGAATGTTGAGCGTGGCTAAAAGGAACAGAGAGAAACCCTATAAGTCGTCGACCACTAAATCCGAATACACCCCCATCGTCGACCACCGGTTCTGAAAAGCCCTAGCCGTCGCCGACAACCCTGTGCAACCAATAGACGAGCGTGTGCGACCGGATGGGAGAAAATGGCGGACAACAGGCACTGCTACGACCGGCGCGAAAAAGGAATAAAGAAAACGCTTGCGTAACTCGGGAAGACATGCGGCAAGATATAATGAAATAACGTATAGGGAAAGAAAATAATAAAGGAAGCATTTAGAATGGAGAATATCACGGCAATACCATTAATAACATATACAAAATCAATGTAAATTACGCATACACCCCTCTAAGATTAAATTACAACGCCAAAATACCAATTAATCAAAACCATTGAAATCAAATCTTGGATGCACAAGATTTGTTCTCACGTTCTCACCTAAGCAAGTGTTCTCATATGATCCTAACTCTCTCTCTCTCTCTCTCTCTATATATATATATATATGGGTTCAAATGAGAATAACCCCCTCTTATAAAAAGTGAGAACTTGGGCCGCCAATCAAGGTTAATTGAAGAGTATTTGAGGTGATTTAAATTTTTTGGCGATAGATGCAAGCTAATGTGTTCTCAAACACAAAGTAGTATCAATTCCATGAAAATCTTGCCCTAACAAAGATCAATTATGACAAACAATAAGGAAAGCAAGTAGCATTTAAAATGAATAATAAGTAATGTAAAAGACTAAGGAGAATATATGGCAGGAAAATGGATTAGGTCGATGTAATGCGACTGAACCGAGAATAAGTGTGAGAGTCAATTAACTTAACAACGGACGTCATTAAACGGGAGAAAGTCTTTCTCACGGTTGTTTCATACTCTTAGGACAAATAAAGGCATTGTCATCACTTGCACTTAATAAAAGAGGTAGAGCCCAAATTCAACTATTTGGTAGATGACCCCATTTTTTTAGGATTCGCCGGTAATTATTGTCATGTGTAAAGTATACATGAGAATATTTAAAACACAAGTAGAGTCTATATCAAGTATATTATACATATCACCTTCACTTTACGCCAGGGGAGGCGATATCACAAAAGGCTAAAGGCATGAAAGTTCAGCTCATGGCATCAAAATATGGCCTGATGCAAACAAGCAGTCACTGCACCCCTCTATTCACTCACTTTGTACTGCTTATTCCATTCAATTAATTTCAAGATAAGCAAAGTATATATATATATATATATATATATATATATATAAAGAAGATGGAATAAGTTGTTGATTACACCCCTTTCACTTTATTCCATTTCATACCATACGCAATATATATAAATTGATTGAAGAATGCATGGCTTCAGTTATTGGCTAATCCGACCAAGCTTAGCTTGTTTATCGTCAGAAATATAATAATAATAATGTCTCATCCTCTGGTGCTACCCCACGAGGACACAATCAGAAAACAAGTTTTGGAGACTCATAATCCTGAAGATGGCCGCCGCAACATTATTAATGTCGGAAGAATTCTTGATGTTGTCCACAACATCATCCTCAACACCCACACGGTACTGTTAATTAATTATATATGTCCTCAATCAATGTTACGGTTTTCCTCAATCATTATATTATGATCAATGCAGGCTGCTGCTGCAGGGACGACAACCTTGGAACAACAACTTCGCCAACCGCTGGACTATGATAACATCCAACTTCTGTTTAAAATACAACAGCTTTCATGCCAGGTTTTTTTTTCTTTTCTTTTCTTTTCTTTAATAAATATAATTTAGATTTGATGAACTAATTTTGTGATTGCCCATAATTACTTATTAGCTAGGTTGAAATCAAATAAGAACAAATCCTTAAGACAAAACTAAAATCGATCTTATTCTGATGAATAAATTGAATGGATCAGATCAATTTTTTTTTAAAAGGTGGCATTTTATAATTAATTATCACAAATTTTACTATACAACTTAGAACACTATACTCTGGTCTCTGCAGTTCTCGGGATTTTTTAGAAATTCACATTTTGTTTTAACAAAAGAGTTATTCCATTTTTTGACCTAAATTTATAGTTGGCAATCCATTTTTAGTCTTTTTTTCAGAACATCCATTTCTAGTCCTAGTATTATTGTGACATTATCATATTTGATCCTCCGTCAACAAAATCGTTGAAATATCGTTAAATACAATATCATTTCGACCATTTTTATACAAAGTGGGTTAACTTGCTATATATTTATTTTTAGTTTTTTTTTTAAATTATAATTGAGGACATAAATGCCCTTGTATTTTACAAAATTTAACGGTTTTGTTAATGGATGACAAAAAATGGTCATGCCACAATAATACTAGAACCAAAGAATGATGATTTGGAAGAAAAAAAAAAATTGAAATGGATTGTCACCTAAAAATCTAGGACCAAAAATGAAATTAACTCTATTAAAAAAGTACACATTGTAAAATGCAAAAGTACAATGCAGTTAGGGTTTGGATTTTAAAATTTATGATTGATTTTTTTTTTTATTTGATTTAGAGGTTCACTTTTTACTAGGGTTTAGCATTTACGATTTAAGTTTAAAATTTAATTGATTTTGTAAAAATTATTGAAGTGCATATTATATTGTTACAAAGTGCAGAGTATAATGTAACAAGTTATATATAGTTATAAAGTTGGATGATAATTACAAAAAAAATGTCGTTGCCTGGTCCGTCTAATTTTTACACATGTAAATTTGAGATGGTTTCTTTATTTTCTCCTGGCCAAGGGTGTGTTCTCATGGAATCTAAGCCTACATATATAGATAATGATTATTATTCGACCATTTTTTGATTGGTTTAAGGTGGGTTCGGAGTGGTCGGGAGATGTGGGTCTATACGTGATGACAATAAATCTGTTGAGGATGTTGTCAAGTTATGAATGGGAAGCCAAAGCAGTGATGCTGCTAGCAGCATTTGCCAACAATCACGGAGACCAATGCATTTTCACCCACCAAACTAGAAGATTAGCCAAAAAAGTGTGGCTTCTCAAGCAAAGCACTGCTCCCCACCCAAACGACACGACAACCTTTGACGACAGACAGAGAACCATTGTGGGATCAATCAACTCAATCTTAAATCTCACGAAGCGTATGTTGGAGCTCAAACAACTCCCACAACAATTCATCCCACTCTCCCTTGATTCTGATATCCTCTCCAGCACTGTTTACCACATCACTCAAGCTGTTCTCGTCTGTGCATCGCTTCTCAAAACCCTTGGCGTGGCACGCTCCCAGTAAGATTATTTAAGCTAATGTTGTATATATACATATGATCATCTTGCCCATATACATATATTTCATTTCATTTCATTTCTTGGTATTTCCTCAGAATCCCTGCTGGAGTAGTGGAATCACTAGCCCACTATAAAAAGGAATTTGAAGATACAGACATCACTCTTCAAGCTCTACTCAATGACTGCCATACCAAAATAGGTTTAACTCCATGCAAATTTAATAGTATAGTACTATATATATATATATATATATATATTGGGATCAAATGAGAACTATCACCCCTGTGCAAACTTCTATTATGCAATTTGTAATGTCGTATTGAGCATTCTGTTAGATATAAATGTAGTCTGATGATTAACTGAATATAAAGTATACTAGGAAAACTGACCTCCAATAAGTAGTGAAAGCAGAAACAATGTTGATCTCTAGTCATAGTCGATGTCCTCTTAGTTGTGTTGCCTTTTAAGCGGTAGACCTATAAAGTAATGTTAATTAGATGTTTTGTTCCATACTTAGCTTGACTTAGAACCTGTTAAAACAGTGTTATTATAACATGCCACAAACTCCTTTTATCGCTCGATCCCTCTCCTTTTTTTTCTTAAGAAAGATTGTCAACCTTCGTTGACATTGCTTATTTTATCCAACATATGTGTGTTACATAAACAACTCACTCAAGTACTATGTATGTGTTACATGTGTACGTGTTGGTGCAGAGGAGAAGGAGGTACAAGAATCTTACGAAGCATTAAAACTTGCTTTTTCTCGGTCAGATCGGTCTGATGATAATAGAGACATTTTGAAGTTACTATTTAATGTCAAGGATGATCAGAACATGCCGCTGTATCATGGTGAAACAAAAGTGGAGGTATGTCTGTAGATAAAGAATATTACTAAGAATGGTGATGAATAACTACTTTACATGCATTGAATAATAATTTTATGTATAAGCGCTATTATTCATGTAGGCGGAACTAGATGTTTTACCGACGGATAAGAATCTGCTACTGGTAATATCGTCCGGATTAGACATCTCAAAGGAAAGGGCAGAATATCTCGGGAAGGTTTACAAAGATTGCCAGCAGGTAATTAATATCTCGGGAAGATTTACTGGTAAATGTCTGTTAGCTGTTAGCTATTCGTTGATTGTGTTAATTAGATGGTATAACTAGTTGATAACATTAGCTGTTCTAAAAAAGTGTTTGGTAAATTAGTTATTAACTGATAGTTGTTTGGTATAATTTCTTTTCTGAAAAAGCTAATTGAAAAAGTTGTTTGGTGTAGTTTTTTAAATTTTAGCATTTTGGAGTTGTAAAAAGCTAATTAATCAAACAAATATTTTAATTAAATCAAACAATTAATAGTGGTCAAATAAGCCAAAATTAGCCTATAGGCCAATTTTTTACTAAACAGGGCCATTATATTTCATCTCAATGCTGTATTTTGCTTACTTTCCACAACAAATTTTTTAATTATCTGATTGTCATATCATTCTTAAAATCAATCAGTAATCATTAGACCACATCCCTTAATTATAAACCACACGTCTCAAATTAAGTAGGGACTGAACTCGACTGACCCAGCTGACACACAACCCTATGAATATATATCATTCAATTTGCTGCAGAAATGTAAAAGTACTCTTATGTTTTATGTTTTTGGGGTTTCCCAGAATCATGGAATGATCTGGATTCCGGTTGTGAATGGTCGACGGAGAGAGTTCTGGAATGAAGAGAAGGTGAATGAGTTTGAAAGCTTACTAGCTGTGATGGGTTTCTACTCAGTAAAAGATCCAAGAAAATCAGTGGCAGCAGGGTTGCATAAATATGTTGAGGAGGATTTGTTCCAAGGTGTAGAGAAGGATGATTTCTTCAGAATTGGGAAGGAGCCCATTGTTGTGGTGCTGGATTATAAGGGGAAGTTTGTGCATAAAAATGCAATGGGCATGATATTGGCATGGGGAGCTGATGCCTCCCCATTTGACACATACAAAGAAGAATGTATGTGGAGGGATGAGACATGGGGAACTGCACTTATGACCACTACCATTCACCCCATACGCCAATGGGTACGTATAAAGCCAATTTAATATGGTTTTTTTCAACTTTATAACATGTCTACCATCCATTTAAACCAATGTAAAGTGTAATTATAAGGTTAAAATTTTGACTCAGCAATAGCTGTGTTTTAGTCTTTTCTATTTGAGTTAATCAGTTATGACTAATGCTTTGAGTCATCAATTTCTAGTCACATGGTGCTGAACTTAGCCCTTCAATCTTCGCACAATAATCCCTCAGCCACATAGTGCTAGCTAGACCCTCCATTCCCTAACCACATAAAGTTGGACTTAGCCCTCAACTGACTACTGCCGACCTCTGCCCAACAATCTCCTTACGGTGTTAGACTTGACCCTTCACCGGCCTCCCCCAACAATCCCCTACTAGCTACATGATGCTGGACTTGGCCCTTCACCGCCTCCACCCAACAATCCCCCTAGCTACATTGTGCTGGACTTGGCCCTTACAGGCCTCAGCCGAACAATCATCTTCCCAACACCAACCTGTTTTGCTCTTGTTAGAACTCGAACACATGACCTAGCTTTGATACCACTTGTGAGGATCAAATACTTACCACTACTTCAAAAGCTATATATATAGCGCCTTTATTTCCCCATTACATTTTCGAGAGGTAGAGTGCTGCCCGGACTTGACCCTTCACCAACTTCCGCCCAACAATTTCGTAGGCCCTAACCACATGGTGGTGGGTGGACTTGATCCTTACCAACTTCTACCTAATATCTAAGTTGGTTTATTTCTTTGTGATCTAGTGCCCACCTGCTTAATAGTATTAAAGATATAATCAACTTAATGTATAGTACACTATCTACTTGGTGGAGAAAATGGAACTTATATCATTTTTTTTTTTTTTTTTTTGATTCGTGTTGGTTCGTCAGATGAATGCAAAACCACAAGGAGCAAACAAGGAATGCCTTTTCTTTTTGTATGGAGGGAACGACATTGAATGGGTTCGACAATTCAAAATCGAGGTAGAAAAGTCAGTTTCATCAGACTATGAACCAAGGATGATGTACCTGGGAAGAAACAAGGAGGTAAGATCAATCATTTCCCCAAGCGATTGCTTGGATGAGCCCTCAACATGGCTCTTTTATACTCGACTGCAAACCACATTGTTGTCAAGGATGAACTATTTAAGCAAGTTTAACCTTAACAAGTTAGGCCACGACAACATATTAAGCCTCCTCAAAAAATTGCTTGCTTACAAATCTCTGGGTGAAACTGGAGGATGGTGCCTGCTATGCACAAAGGATGTTGTGATCCGATGTACGAATGAAGCTACAATGTTGAGACTCTTGACTGAGTACAAGGATCGGAAAGAAGTTATTGCCAAGGATAATAATAAGCATTTCTACGAGGTGTTTGAGGTGCAATATGATCACCCTAAGTATTCTTCCAATTCTTTCACTTCACTATATCACCAGCCCTGCTGTGAACTTGAATACCCTAGTGAACTTGGGTATCCTACAACTTTCACTGAAATTCCAGAGAGGGAGATGTGTCCGGTTTGTTATACATATATGTATAAACTTATCACTTTCGCGTGTTGTCATGGCCATGCCCACCATGATTTGGAGTACGACGAAAATGATGATGCAACCAATAAGTAGAAATATTATATGATCACAATAATGTAACATCATATCATGTCACATTATATTGTTAAGTTATATTTTGAAATGTTTGTCTTAAATTTATATTGATCAATATTAATATTTTTTTGACAAGAAATTTTAAAAACAAAAATATTTAGTTATTTTATTTTGTAAATATATTGTTAAAGATCTCACTTGAAGTGGTTTTCACATGAATGCAAACATAGTGAAGCATCTTATGCTCAGATGACATGTACTGACGGTTGAGAAAGTATGTTTGAACAGATACTATAATGTAATAGAGTCAGTAGCATTCAAAACAAAAAATAAAAAATAAAAAAAAATAAAAAATAAAAGTTAATTTTAAAACGAGCCACCTATCAAAATATTTTCGACCCTTGGCCAACATATATAAATATATAAATAATACATTAAATAAATATAGGGGAAATGGATTAAAACGAATAAAAAAGATTGAGCACCATCATAGCTCAAATGTATTAATAAATATTTGACATTAATAGATCAAATATATTGGTGGTACGCTTCAATTCTTGGTGTGATCAAATTTAACCACCAAGTAATTAATTAGCTGGAAGACCTTTGACCTCTCTTTGACCCTTCAATCTCTGCTTGCTTTGCCACTGTTAATGTATCTACGACGCTTTGCCTGGAGGGGAAATATGCAACGATACAACCTTTTTTGTTCTTCTCTACTGGTTTTTGGTTTTGATAATGAACTTTTTCTATTCTTCTCTGGCGGGAAATCTTCAACTGAATGCTAATTGATGGTTTAATGGCGAGAATAACATTGACGCTAAGTAACATCGATTTTTCTTGTTCTTTCATTAAATCATTTCATGATCCCTATCATAGGAACCTCTATGGCATTTAAGCAAGAGTAGCTTAGTTCAAGCCGACCCATACTTTTATCCCTTGAGCTTGTCATTTGCTTATTACTTTAATTTGAACTTCATTGATCTTGTATAACTCTCAAACATACTACACGAGCTAAATTTCAAACATGTACTCAAACATGTATTTATATTTTAAGGATAAATATAACCTTAAAATGCTCACACGAGCTTAGCTCATTAGTTCAATAGGCTGTATTTGAAAAAAGAGACTAAGGTCTGAACCTCGGCAACGGTAGTGTAGGATTATGTCCAAAGTGGGTGCCATGTTTCTGAGCTATTGAGTCACCGTGATTTACCTTCATGGACTGTCGGGTCAGGGTGTGGAAAGCCCTTGGAGTTGGGGGAAGAAATATAACATTAAAATTTTCTTATTCTTAATTAATACAAAGAACATTTTCCTTTTCATTTATGTGGACAATGCACGCTTATGCCACACTCTAGTCATATTCTTTGCTTGCTTCATTAATCTATTTTTTTTTTCAAAGTGATTTATTGAATGGGTGGATAGCCAAAAGAAAACAAAGGCAGAGGTGTGCCAACTACAAAAGATGTACGTACCAATTCTATATTCTTTTTGGCTTTAATTTGATTGAAACTGATTTCTTTTCATTTTGTAATCTTTTCTGTGCTATAAATGAGGCCCAATAAGCAGCTTCCAACACTTAACTGGCTTTTATCTTCTTTATCTAAATTCAAGCTACACGTACTAGCTATTAATGGCACCTGCAGCGCCGATGCAGTCACCGGCGGCCGCCCCTGTCCACCGTGCAGTGGCCACTCCCGATGATTCTGCGGTGGTGAAACTAATTGAGAAAACCCATTTCCCTAATGGAGAAGAGATCGACGCCATGTCTATCCTCCATATCGCCAAAGGCATTTTGGATGACTGCAAGAGCACTCCACCCGCTGAGGTTGGTACTCCACACATTTATACTCCCTCATCAATATATTTAGGAATCGTTTTTAATTTATAGCCAGCACAAGCAGCTCAGTTAGTATTGGGCCCTAAATTTAGCACCCGATAGTTGGGGGATTGATAGACGATTGCCGGTTCAGTTTCCGGTATCTCAAAAATGTGATGACAGTTTATAGAGAATTGAAGTTGCACATTTACTACAAACTATAACTTTTACCCTAAGTAGTAAGCCTTTGATCTAACAAGCTAGGTCACTAGTTAAGACTGATTGGTGTTGGGAGGTGAAATTGTTGGGCTGAGGCTCGTAAAGGTCAGGTCTAACACCCAATCACTAGGGATGGTTTCAAGTTAATTTTTATTTTGTTTTTTGTTTTTTTTTTTCTAACTACTTGTTTGGTTAATATTTGTTTCATATTTTGTTGTTTTTTATATAGTTGTTTTGTTTGATTCTAAATAATGGATATCAAGTTGCATTTGTTTGGTTATTTATGCAGATTTGTGGTTATGTAATAAATTTTGTATTTAATTTAACATGCATAATAATGTAAAAATTTTGTAGTATTTATATTTGAGAAAGCAATTGCTATTATATTTTTAATAAATAATCAATTTCTTCAAAAATAAATAAATAAATAAATAATCAATAGACTTTTAAAATTAAGCATGCCTGAATGTTTTTATTCTTTCAATCCTGCAAAGCAATGTACATTAAAAAGCATATTGCAAAATAATTTAATATAGATTATTCAATTATAAATGATGTATTCTAAACTTTAGTAAATTTGTAATATAATGATTATTTTGAAATATGTTGAATGGATATGAATGTATTTGATTTAGTAGTTCAAGGGTGGTTGGCCTCCCATACTATCCAATCCTAGCTCCGATCCACACCTATTACGTTTTTGTGGGCAAATTAAAAAGATGTTTCTGTAACATCATACATTCATACAACACGATATGATGTCATAGTTTCAAATTATTAATTTTAGGCTTCTGAAGAAGGAGAAGGCGACAGTGCCACATTGACACCAGAGCTGCAATTTGAAGTGTACAGGCTTTCCGTCCAGGTGAGTTGAATTAGCTTAATGATGAAATTAATGTGTTATTTATATCAAATTATATGGGATTTTTTACATTAAATTTTGGATCACCAGCTTTCGTACAGGAGTTTGGAAGCAGGAGATGATGTGCAGGAAAAGACTGTGAGTCTCTTCAACATGCTCTCAAGCTACTCATGGGAAGTTAAGGTGGCACTCATCCTTGCAGCTTATGTTTCCAGCTATGGAGAATATTGGCTTATTGCCCACACATACAGAGATAAAGATCAAGTAGCCATGGGCATGGCAGCTCTCCTGCAAATGTCTGACCTGCTAAAAGAGGATAACAACAAACTACACACACTATTCCAACCACTTCATAAACTACTCAACCCCATCCTAGATTTGTGCTACTGTATCGTCGAGGTTAAGGAATTCTTCTTATCTGTTTTTGCTTCTTCAAACACCACAGCTGGATTTCCCGGGTTAAGAGCCACGGTTATCATCTGTTGCTATTGGATCATTAGATCTGCTCTTATTTGCACCTCATATATGCACTCCCTCATCGTAAAGGATCCTAGGTACGATTGTATTTCATTCTTTTCTTTTTTGAGTAATCAGAAAATTCGCAGTCATTACCTGTTAAGATTCAGAATTTGAGAGACCTGGCGGGTGGAGAATATCCACCACCCGTCAGTAAGGCGGAAGCAAGATATGTGAGAACCAAAGAACAAGAGAATATATTATATTGAAAGAGTACAATAGATTGTCTCTCTTCCTGTCTGTCTCTATTCTATACTTCTATGGATCTCTATATATACTAAACTAGATACTAAATTAGTCTAGGAAACTACTAATAAGAATAGGAAAGTAAGACAACTTTCCTAATATTCAACACTTGTGATTTCTTTCCTTAACATGTGATTTCTGTGATTTCTTTCCTTAACACTCCCCTCAAGTTGGAGCATGTAACAGAGAAATGCCCAACTTGGGAATAAGAGACTTATGATTGACGTTGTTGCTAGCGTCCCTCTTGTCAGCGTCGACGACCTCCGTGTCTAAATCTCTAAGACTGCCTAATCTATAGAGATTCCAAATATTATATTTATATTCCATAACATTACAAATATATCACATGAGCCATAGGACTTCACATCTAGAGTCATAACCTTCGAGATTAACACCCATGTCTCGAACCACTTGATCAATCTTCAAACCACGTTGTGCCAAATCAGTCCATCGTTCAATCTGTTGCACTAACTAAGCTTCCACGAAGCCAAAAACAAGCCAAACACCCACCTGCCACTCACACCCCACACCGTTATCAACACTGCCTAACACCACAGTGCTCCTGCCTCTCGCACCACAAACCATCATTAGCGCTGCCCAACACAGTGTTTTCCTGTTTTCCTGGTGCACACAATTGGTTCATCCCGAACCAATTCTTCTTCAACCATCGGCCTCCCATAACTGCCGTAGCATATGCCAGGTCCGCATCCCTCCTAGCATCCGTGCTGCCCATCACTGCAGCACCCTGACAATTGGTTCATCCCGAACCGATTCTTCTTCAACCATCAGCCTCTCATAACTGCCGTGACATATGCTAGGTCCGCATCCCTCCTAGCATCGGTGCTGCCCATCACTGCAGCACCCTGGACTGATTGACATTGAACAAGCTACAACGACTCAACTCATACCAAAATATGAGACTAATCCTATGGACCCACAATAATTAATCAAACAACACAATCCACAAGATATAATAAACCAAAAGCTCTGATACCATGTTGAAATTGAGGGATTGATAGATCTGGCGGGTGGAGAATAACCACCACTCGCCAGTTAGGCGGAAGCAAAATATGTGAGAACCAAAGAACAAGAGAATATATTATAATGAAAGATTACAATAGATTATCTCTCTTTCTGTCTATTCTATACTTGTATGGACCTCTATATATACTAAACTAGATACTAAATTAGTCTAGGAAACTACTAATAAGAATAGGAAAGTAAGACAACTTTCCTAATATTCAACACTTGTGATTTCTTTCCTTAACATGTTATTTCTGTGATTTCTTTCCTTAACATTACCTAATTTCATATTGTGACCCTAGCTGTCATAGATCGAAAGGCAAGGACATAAACCAGACGGACTATGTTGTCCATAGTTGATAGCTAGGCTTAGACTAATAAGGCCAATACTATGCTATTAGTGAGTAGACTTGTAACATTGATCTTACCAACTTGTTTCCCTCTTTTTTTTTTTTCTTTTTGAGTGACTAGCAAATCCATTATCTAAAAGTGCATACGTGATAAACTCCATATTGTGAGCTTAGCTGACAAAAAATTACAAGGAGATAAACCAGATAGACTACGTTGTCTAAAGTCTATAGGTTAGACTTAAATTAAGAAAGCAAATATGTTGCTCTCAGTAAGTGGACTTGTAACTTGACTTACCAAGTTAATAGTTTGACCAATTTGACCGAAGTTGTTGCACTATTTTTTGTTAGTGTAATGCCATTGTTGATTTTATAGTTTTATTTACGATTATTTTCTATTAGGACCACCAACATGGATGCAGAGCTAGACAGCTTGGCTCGCAAGATTCAACCACTGCGAAACCGTCTCACGAATCAACTCTTCACATGCTACAAAAAACTAGGTTAATGCAGCAGAAATTCCTACAAAATACAATTTGTATTTATATATATATATATATATATATATATATATATATATATATATATATAGATAATGGAAGACTAACAAAAACAGCAATGTTACAGATGTTATTGACAAGATTGATGTGGTGGGGCGAGCCTTGAAGACTAATGATATTGATAATATGAAAGTCCTCAAGTTGTTAGTTGATGCCAGGGATGACAAGCAGACATCAGTCTTTGACCTGTTCAGTAAAAAACAGGTCTGATTTTGTAGTTTTTGATGTTGTCTGTCATCATATATCTATATATAAATAGAGGATTATGATCAAATAAGAACTATACTCTTCAAGAAGCATATGAAAACATGCATTATATTTATGTAATTAGGATGGTACATTTTGTAATATATGATGGTGCAAGGGTAGATTAATCTCCTAACTGTCCCCGAGAAAAGGGTGGGCGGTTATGCCCCTCTTGACCACATCTACGTACCCTACCCGACCTCGAGGCTAGGACTTCACCAACCAACGCCGAGCCCAGGGCTCGGCCCTTGGACCTCGGGGATCTGTTGGACCTGCCTTAGCTTGTTCCATCCCACTGAATCATTTACTTCGGACCCGTCTCTAATATATCTATCACTATAATGTACATAACCATGACGTGTGTTATGGTTGTGGCAGGTTAGCTTAGAAACTTTGAAGAACAAGACTGTGCTGCTGTTGATATCAAGCACAGAGAATGAAGTTCTTTTTCTCCAAGAATGGTACGAGAAATGCGATGAAGTCCAAAGGAGGCAACATGCGATCATCTTGTTTCCGGTGGAAGGGAGTGATCAGTCGTCCATGAAAAGTAAAAAGTTCACAATGCCTAATTTGTACATGGTAGATGATCCTGGATCCATAGATCCAACCGTCATTCGCTTCGTTAAAGAGAATTATTTCCAAGAAGGGCCAATTCTACTTGCAGTTGGCCCTGCAGGAAGAGTTGTCCATCCTAATGCATTGCCCATGATTTGGACATGGGGATCTAAGGCCTTTCCTCTTACACTCCAAAACGAAGAATCCCTCAGGAGCAGCGAGACATCCATCATGCTTGAGCTGCTGATAAAAGACCTCGACGACAAATTACTGAAAATGGTATGTTCGTCTAATCTTCTAACTTTTTAAACATGAATATTATATTAAAATATTAAATGGTATGTTTGTCTGGTTGAATACTAGCTTTTTGTTGCGTGGAGTCTAGCACTCAGTGGTTAAGAAATTGTTGGGTAGAGGTCGATAAAGGCCCTATTCCAGCATCCAGCGTCTCGAAAATGTGTGACAATATGGAAATAAAATTATGCCTTAGCGTAAATGGATCCTAACACTTACTTGGATATGATCTTCACATACAGGTTGAGGAAGGCAAAAAATCTATTTGCTTATACGGAGGGGATGACTTGGAGTGGATTGAAAGGTTCACCGGCAAGGCAAAAGAAGTTGCTAATTCCCTCCCTGTGACACTTGAGATGTTCTTTCTGGGAAAAAGCACAGACAGTGTGTCCAAACTAGAGAAGATAATCCCAGATATCTATTCAAAGAAACTGGTTTCCGAATCTCCAAAGCTTTCCAGCGCCAAGGTGCGGTCATTCTGGGCAAAGCTCCAGCGCATTCTACTCTCCAGGGCGCAATATCTTAACAAAACAAAGCAGCAAAACACTGATGAAGAAGAAGGAGTGCTGCAAGAGTTGGGGAAATTGCTGGATAAGAGTGGACTTCGAGGATGGGCGATGTTCAGCAAAGGGAACCACATAGCTTTGATTGGAGACGAGGATGTGACCATGAAAACCCTGAATGATTTTACAAAATGGAAGTTAAGTCTAGGTTTCGAGGGAGCGTTGAAAGATCACTTGGAAAGGCTTGAAGGTGACGACTATTCTGATCGCCCATGTTGCCACCTGCACTTCTCGGATGAATTGAGTGATGAGATCCTAGAGAACATCAAGTGTCCAGAGTGTCATCGGAGATTGGGGAAGTACACTGCTTTCTTATGCCACAACCAGAGACCAGAGTGAAATTGCATGAAAACATATGTACAAGCCAAGATTTTTTTGAGTATAATGGTGAAGAAATGTAATTGGCTACTAAACTTTAAGAAACTCTCTATTTGTGAAAGTAAAAATAAAAATACAATTTATTGCTATACATACAACTATACAAGGTCGGGGCAACAACATTGTGCTCAGATGACATATAGTGACTCTTCCATATGGGAGATTATGAGATTGAGTCTCAGTGGAAGTGCGATGGACTCTTTGTGCTTCATTAAGTTGAGTATGTGTGAATAGCAATGTAATAGAGTCAGTAACTACAGGTAGAAATTTCAATTCCATGTGTTTGGCAACTCTAGTATATCTGTCGTTCTTTGAGAAGAACACAGCTACCGTATTATCACACTGAATCCTCAATGATTTGGCTATAGTGTCGACAATGCCCAAACCATAAATGAAATTACGCAACCATGATGATTGAATTGTAGCCTCAAAGCATGCTACAATTCCGCCTCCATAGTGGAAGTAGCAATGACAAGCTCCTTCGCACTCATCCAAGATAGTGCTCCATGAGCAAGTGGAAAATATATCCGAGTGTGGATTTTGGATATCCAAACATTCGGCATAGTCTGAGTCCGAATAACTTATAACCTCTAGGTTATTCGTTCTTCTAAATGTGAGCATGTGGTCCTTAGTGCCTTGTAAGTATCACATGACCTTCTTTGCAGTTTTCCAGTTTATATCTTTCTAAAACATTTTTAATGTGAGCCTTCTAGGATGAACCTGAAATCTCATGTGATCTATCACATAATATTTATATTCCAATCACATACGAAGCCTCACCCATAACATTCATTTTAAAGTTCTTAGAAAGATATTCCTTAATTTTCCGATTGAAATTATGGTAATATGTGGCCAGAGGACCAAATCTGATACTAATTAGAGAGTCATGCACCTAATTAGAAAAGAACAATAGTCAAAGACCAAATGCATTTCAGCTATGATAGTCAAGGGACCAAAAATGATATTTTCTCGTTAATACTATGAATGTTTTTTTTTTTTTTTAACTATTAATATTTATCCATTTTTATTTTTGATTTTTAATGTGATTACAAAGTTTTTTTACCTTTCAAAAAAAATTAGTTTTTTTTATTATTATTGATTTCTTTTTTTCAGTTTTGATTGTTATTAAATTATAGAGTAAAAATGTAAAATTAGTTAGTATAATCGTCCTTGTAGATTTGTATATTTAAAGGTGTTAAACAAAGGATATAATCTCCTCAAGTTTGTGTTGGAGGCTTATTAGTAGTATGCTACAATTTGGCTTATGCATCAAATTGTTCTTCACATTACCACTAATGATGAACTTAGTGTATGAAGTTTATGAACCCAATTTGTTCATCTCAACAAGTTAGTAACAAGTGAATTTTTATATTTTACCAAATCTAATACTAATTAGAAAGTCATGCACCTAATTAGAAAAAAGCAATAGTCAAAGATCAAATGCATTTCAGCTATGATAGTCAAGAAACCAAAAATGATATTTTCTCGTTAATACTATGAATGGTTTTTTTTAACTATTAATATTTATCCATTTTTTATTTGTGATTTTTAATGTGATTACAATTAGTTTTTTTTTTACCTTTCAAAAAAAAATTAGTTTTTTTATTATTGATTTCTTTTTTTCAGATTTGATAGTTATTAAATTATAGAGTAAAAATGTAAAATTAGCTAGTATAATCGTCCTTGTAGATTTGTATATTTAAAGGTGTTAAAAAAGGATATAATCTCCTCAAGTTTGTGTTGGAGGCTTATTGTTAGTATGCTCCAATTTGGCTTATGCATCAAATTGTTCTTCACATTACCACTAATGATGAACTTAGTGTATGAAGTTTATGAACCCAATTTGTTCATTTCTACAAGTTAGTAACAAGCGAATTTTTATATTTTACCCTTAAATTTAACCCTTACTAAATGGAAATTGGAAAAATGGTTAAATAGGCCCTTAAACTTTATTTGAAAGTGTAATTAGGACCCTGAACTTCAAAAAAAAAAAAAAATGCAATGAAACACTTAAGCTTAGCTTATCATTTTAGTGCACCTAAACCCAATAATCGCAATTTACCTTAAATAACCAGTCATCAAGATTCCGACGATAAATCTTGCAAAAAATTTTGCAACTCTTTGAATTAAAAAATAAAAATAAAAAAAATTCAGCGACCGATCGTCTTTTTAACCGAAGAAGACAACCAGACTACTGATCGCCTTCTCACCAAAGAAGACGAACGGCCGACCGTCTTCTCCGATGGTTAGTATTTTAGGAGAATATCTATTATTACATATTTTTAACTATTCTAAAACAAGTTTAACATGCTTTCAAAAAAAATAAAAAAAGGTTTAGTGTGTAGCTTGGTGGTGGAGAGCTCATTCTTTATGCAAGAGGTAGTGGGTTTGAGTCCTTATTCCTTTTTGGTCCAAAAATTATATTGTTTTATGTCATATCACAAAATCTGATATGGCAATTCTAACGCCACGTGATCAGACTTAACAGAAAAAATAAACGGTAGTGTTAAGTATTGTCCTTAATTGTTCTAAATCTTAAAGTGCATGATTAAATTGAACAAAATTAAACGCTGAATTGTTTGAAAGTGAACATGAAGTAGCCTCAGATGTGTATTAATATTTTAAAAGAAAATTTTCATTTTTATGAACTATCTAGTTAATATAATCTAAAAGTTTCAATTGTATATTATCGTATTTAAATTAACATAAAATACTAAGAGTTGATCTAATTAAATTAAAAAATATTTATGAATATGATATTAATAGAGATGATATACAATTTATTACAACCATTTCATATTTTATTATAAATATTCTTTTATTACATTTTGAAGTTTTTTAATTTTTATTTTATTTTTCACCTCCACTGACCAACATTTTTGGTTCTACCCCTATAAACCAATATTGTACTTTTGTAATAGACAATGATTTTTTTTTATTATCTTTCTTATCCGTTTGTATTTAACTGTTGTCTTTTTTTTTTTTTCTTTTTTTTTCTGTTTTAATAAGCAATGGTTTATGTTTGTTGTCCATTTGGTTGTAATTTTTCACAATAGTTTTGTCATTATATGTATGCCTATTTATGATCATAGAAAATCAAAATCCAAATACATAATGTCAAGCATTCTAGAATAATAAAGAGTTAATCCAAAGTTAATGTTAGTTTGTACAACTATATATAAGTACTAGGCTAATAATCAAAATTATTATTCTAAGTTATTTAAAAATAATAATAATTTCCTTGCTAACAATTAAAGTAAAAAGATTGTTTATTTAGAAAATGAAAATAAGTACAAGATCAATCACTTTTAATCGAAATGAGTACAAATCATGTTTGAACTATAAAGAGAAAATTTTTAAAATGGTCCTCCAACTATGACCTTTTCTCAAATTGGTCCTTTGACTTTTAATTGCACCTAAAGTAGTCATTTGACTATAGTGAAAAATCTAAATTATCAGTTTTACCCCTCATTTTAACACTGACTTAACACTAAAACTAACAGAGGACTATTTTGGCTTAAAATTCAATAGTCGGTGGACCACTTTAGGTGCAATTAAAAGTTAAGAAACCAATTTAAGAAAAGACCATAGTCGGAGAAAATTTTGGAAATTAACTATTCTTTTCATGTTAGAAGTCTGGAAAACACAAACTTTTCTGAATTTATTTTTCTCTTTCAGTGCTGCTCTTTATTGTTAAACAATTAACTGTGTTTATATGGAGTCTGAATTATCCCGGGAAGAACATATAGGCTCTATTTGGCAGAGCTTATTTAGGAGCTAATAGCTTATTTTAAGCTACTAATAAGCTATAAGCCCTGTTTGGTAATGTTCTCAAAATAAGATCTTAGCTTAAAATAAGAGCTTATTTTGGAACGCTACGGCTATGTTTGGCAAACCTAGCTGAAAAGCTATAAGCTCGGAGCTGAAAATTGAAGAGTTGTTAAGCTAGCTGTTATGATTGAAAGTGTTTGGTAAACTTAGCTTTTTGATAAGCTGATAAATGTAAAAAGACTAAAAAGGACATTTTCATGAAGTAGCAATATTGTTGCGAATCTCCTTCATCTCCATAGAGGTGTGACTTAAATTTTCGTTGATGGAGATATTACTACTTGAATCTTGAAGTTCATCGGGCGGTATGTAATCTGGATATGATGCTGCTCAAGCACATTAAAATCATGTCATCTTGTGAATTCTTTCGAATATAATTATGTAGTGCAAATGTGGCCATAATAACATCAATTTGGGTCTCCTCACTAAACTGCGGCATTTTAGCAAGTATCTTCCATCTCTTATTCAATACTTCAAACGATCTCTCAATACAACTTCGAAGAGAAGAATGTGCACGATTGAATGCTTCTTGAGCATTAGTTGGCGGCTCTTGTTCAAATTGAAATTGAAGCCATATTGCTAATTTAAAAAAAAAAAAAAAAAAAAAAAAAAAAAAAAAAAAAAAACAACAACAACTTCCAAACTTTTTTTTCCATCTTTATCCTTATTATTTTAAAGAAATGACATAATTGACACTTCCCAATTAAATCCATTTTCTCTTCTCCATTAAATCCATTTTCACTACTAATTATTATTATTATTATTATTATTATTATTAGCAACAATATTGCTACTTCATTATGAGATGCTAAATCATGATTATGCTAATAGTTTTATTTCAAAATGTTAATTTTTTTTAAAGACAAAATGTTAAATTTTAATATGTAAACAAACTAATTTAAATTTTATGAAGATGTACTTTTTAGTCTTTTTAAATTTATCAACTTATCAAAAAGCTAATTTTACCAAACACTTTCAATCATAATAGCTAGTTTAACAACTCTTCAGTTTTCAGTTCCGAACTTATAGCTTTTCAGCTTTCAGCTCCTAACTTATAGCTTTTCAGCTAAGTTTGCCAAACAGAGCCATAGTTCATCAGGTGTTTGACCTTGGGATCTAGCTTTAGTGTTAAAATTGAACTATATGTTAGATAAGTTTTTAATAAAAAAATCATTGATAAGGGTTCATAGCTCAATGGTAGAGCATTTGACTGCAGATTAAAAAGTCACTAGTTTGAACCTGGTTGGGCCCTATGAAGTATTCTTAATTTTATTACATATGCCCAATGGTTATTATTATTATTATTATTATTATTATTATTATTATTATTATATATATATATATATATATACACACGACTACATGGAGTAATAATTGGAGTGGTCGCTAAACTTAATTGCCGAATGCATGAAGTGGGCTATTAGCATGCATGCATGACGAGATTTTTCAAGGTAAATTTTTATGTCGCGGTGGCAATTAACTACAATTGGTAATATACTAAGGGAAATTCTATTTGCACCAACCTTATTCTTATTTACACCACCCTTTGATAGGTGTGTTAGCTTTATATGTGGTGTAAATAGAATAATTTAGCTATTTGTACCACCTTCATTAAAGTTAATTAGTCAAACATTAGAATTAAAATTAAAATTAAAAAAAAAAAAAAAAAAAAAAAAAAAAAAAAAAACTCACTTTCTCTAGTACGTGATGAGGCAGTAGGTCACGCCTTCTCACCAAAAAAAGGCAATGATTTTTTTAAAATGTTTTAATTTTTAATTAAAAAATTATTAATGGTACATTTTAATTTTTTTTAAATTATTATGGAATCTCGTAAATTACATTTGACCAGGTTGGTGTAAATAACCATATTCTTTATATTTACACCACATATGTACTTGTTGAAATTTCCACATTTTTACAATTTCAAGGTTATTTGCATCCACTTTTCATTAGGGGTGGTATAAATAGTAACACCCTATACTAATATCTAAATAAACTCTTTAGGAATTTTTCGCACTTTTGGTCCCACAACTATGCTGTCACTAACAACTTTGATCCACGACTTTCAAAACTTGCAGAATTGGTCCACGACTATTACTTTCTTAGCAAATTTGGTCCTTCCGATGCATTCTCCGTTCAATTTTAGCCGGTCCACGAATATGGTTAATTTTTTTAAAATTATTATGGAATCTCGTAAATTACATTTGACCAGGTTGGTGTAAATAACCATATTCTTTATATTTACACCACATATGTACTTGTTGAAATTTCCACATTTTTACAATTTCAAGGTTATTTGCATCCACTTTTCATTAGGGGTGGTACAAATAGCAACACCCTATACTAATATCTAAATAAATTCTTTAGAAATTTTTCGCACTTTTGGTCCCACAACTATGCTGTCACTAACAACTTTGATCCACGACTATTACTTTCTTAGCAAATTTGGTCCTTCCGATGCATTCTCCGTTCAATTTTAGCCGGAATTCCCCCCTCCCTCCACAACCAGTTTTCTTCCTACTCATTATCCTTTTGACACTTCCTGCCTTCATTCTTTATTAGCAAAATTCATCATCATTTCAAGCAAAACTAATAAATATTATTTTTTGACTAAAATAGAATCACTATCTCTCTTTTTTTTTTTTTTTTTTTAAATACCAACATAACTCTAATTACATCACACAAACTATTTTTTTAAAACACATTTTACCTCTTCCAATGCCTAATGACATAGGTTCTTTGGACTTAAGATTTAATTGTCTAGCATGAGATAATAAACCTACTATAAATAAAAGAAAAAAAATACAATTTTATTACGAATATACAAAAATTATTGTCTTGTTTGCAGGGGTCGGAGCCATAAATATAATTGACTGGGGACGAAAGTTTAAAGCACTTTGAAAATGCTATAAAAATATATATTCATGATAAAATGTGAAACACAATCAATTAGATAAGATAGTTTGAATACGAAATACATTATAAACCACGTCATCTCTAATTCTCTATTGATATTATTAAATTCATAAATGTTTTTTCTTCTAGTTAGATCAAATTTAGAGTTTTCTAAATTAATTTGAATATGATAAAATATTAAATAAACTTGTAGACTACATTGACTAATGTCCTGTTTGGTAAAATAGTTAGCTTATAGATCAATTTTGACTTATTTGACCACTATTAATTGTTTGACTTGGTTTAAAAATCAATATACGTGTTTGGACTATTAGCTTTTTCTACTCCAACAATGTTAAAATTCAAAAAGTTACTCAAAGCAACTTTTTCAATTAGCTTTTTGAGAAAAGAAATTATACCAAACAACTATCAACTAACAACTAATTTACCAAACACCTTTCTACAATCAGCTAATGTTATCAACTTGTTATACCCTCTAATTAATGCAATCAACTAACAGCTATCAGCTATTGCCAAGCACCTTGTGCTCAGATAGCACCCAGGTTGGATTTCCATATGGAGGTTGTGAGTTCGAGCTTCAGTGGAGGAACAAATACTACACTACATTGTAATAGAATCAGTAGATCAATTAGCTTGATAAATGTAAAAAGACAAAAAAGGGCATCTTCATAAAATTTAACATTTTGTCTTTAAAAAATTTTTAAAATAAAACTATTAGCATAATCATGATCTAGCATCCCATAATGAAGTATCTTAGATTAGCATTCCAAAATAAGCTCTTATTTTAAGCTACGAGCTTATTTTGTGAACATTACTAAACAGAGTTTATAACTTATTAGTAACTTAAAATAAGTTATAAGTAACAAAATAAGCTCTGCTAAATAGACTCTAAATGATTGATAAAAAGTAGGTTTTAATAAAAAATATTTGTCATGACTAAATCACAAAATATATTTTATATCAATTAATAAATCCATTTAAATAATTATTATCACATATAACATATAATAAATCACACAAATTAATGCACATTATAAATATACGTACTAATACGTAACAAACTATAAATCTCACAAATTAACACACACTATAAATATAAGTAGTAAAATACTCAATGGTAAATAAATTTCAAAATTTGATATTAATCAAAAATAAGTCTAAATTAGAGGTTCTTATAATTCAACGAGTGAATTAGTCAGTGTGTTCAACGTTGATTAAATGTTTAAACTAATAGTTAAATTGTATACGTAATTTGTGCATTATGTGTGTAAGTATATTTTATGTTGAACATGCTGACGGGCGATAGAGATGCGAAAGATAACATTGCACGTTGTTTATTCAATTATGACCGCTACGAAAAATAAATAAATTGTCAAACACATCTTAAGTAATCATTTTTGTAATATTGTTAAATATAAGAAGGAATTTAAAATTTAAAAAAAAAATGAAAAGGTAAAATACACTATTACTTATGGTGAGATGAAAAAAGACTATTACCCGCGTTAAAAATGTGAATAATTCTGGCTAAAATTGATTAGAGAATGCACCGGAAGGACCAAATTCGCTAAGAAAGTAATAGTCGTGAACTAATTCTGCAAGTTTTGAAAATCGTGGATCAAAGTTGTTAATGACACCATAGTCAGGGGACCAAAAGTGCGAAAAATTCAATTCTTTAGGTTCACATTGTTTCTTAAATTTTTATCATACTATCGCGTTGTTAGTTTTTTAGGATTTGATCTCTACCCTTCCAATGAAGGTCACCTGATTCATCTAGGGTGAGAAGCAAGATGTTCTATGCAAGCTCCAAACATAGGTTCAAGAGAGAGCTTGATGGCATCCGGATAGAGTTGCAAGCCAGTGACCCCTACTGAAATGGGCCTTGAATTGATATATGTCATCAGAAGCCAAGCCGGTCGCTTCAATTGCTGTACACTGAAATGGAGAGCTCTGATCTCCATAAAGTTTGCTTTGGTTATGTCTAATGTTTATATTATGTTGGGAAGTAGAATTGGTTACATATAGGGGTGTTAGCGAACAGTGCTTTCGATAAACTACTCGTGTTTGTGTTCGGTAAGCGTTCGGTTATGTTCGTTTATTAAGGTAAACGAACATTAGCAAACAAAATTTAGAGCTCAATTTATAAATGAACGGAGTCTGAACAATAGTAGGCTCGTTTGTTAAGAGATCGTGAACAAGCTCGTTTGTGTTTGTTTAATAATGTTCGCGGGCAAACTTGTTTAGTGTTCGTTTAATAATGTTTGTGTACAAGCTCGTTTGTGTTCGTTTAATATTTGTTTGTATTCTCTTTATAATTGTGTTACTTGTTTGGTTATTTTTCGTGAACATATATTATTTCTTGTTTACGAATGAATCGTGATCATGAACATGTTCATATGTTTGGTTATTTATGAACATGAACGAACATGTTCCTGAACGTGTTCGCGAACGTTAACCAACACTAACGAACGCTTAACAAATGAACGTACACGAACAGGATTTTTAAAAAGCTTAACAAACGAACACGAACACAAAACACTTCAAAAATCTTAACAAACGGACACGAACAACCTCTGTTCGTTTATGTTCAGTTTGTTAACAGTCCTACTTAGATATGTTGTTGGGTCAAACCTTTAAGCTTCATCTCTAATGAGAAACTTTAAGCATATACACTAATTGTTATTCATGGGTCTTGAGATTTTCTTCATTTCTAATGTGTTTTCTTCTTAGGAGATTATGTGAATCAACTCTGATGTTAGTTTCCACTTTCCCCTCCACCCCCACTCATGATATTTCTTAGGGAAAATGACACTTTTTACCCATGAGTTATATACTTATAGCACTTTTTCCTCCTCAATTATTTAGGTAAGCATATTAACCTCCTTAATTATTCTAAAAGTGGTGCCTTTTCCCCCTAATATATTAAATTGACATTTATACCCTTAAAGTAAACATTTTATTTATTTTATTACTCCAACAAATTATTGCGTATACGTAGGGATGACCAGGGTTCGGTTTGAATTGAACCGGATACTAAAGCAATCGAATTAATAGTTTACGGTTATAATTCAGATCTAGAACCCAATATTTAAATGTCAATTTATTAAAATTATGTATCAAAAAAATTGAATCTTGAACCGTGAACCGGTGGTTCCGGATCTGATTCGCGATTTTGAACCATCAATGTGGGCAAGTATTGAGAAGTCCAAAGACTTTTTTTTTTTTAATATTATTGACTCGACAAATTATGCTGTGACACCGTGTCCACCTTGCAAAGTAGACACAATTCAAAAATTGTTCATAATTATGAATATATAGTTCTATAATTTGAATATATAG